TCTATCTATCTATCTATCTATCAACCCTTAGGCCTGAAGCATTAGGAAGATGGGAGCTTGTGGACAAAAGGGGGAAGAGCAGTCCAAAGCAGGTTAAGATATAAGGATGTGCAAGCACTCCATTGCTAAGGGAGTTCTCTGCCATGATCTATGGTAGGGCAAAGGGAATTGACTGAATGGCTACACTCTGCCTTTTCATTTCCATTTTAGTTACATGACAGTTTGGAACATTTTAGTTAAAATGCAGTTACGGTTTGGGGCTGCGGGGGTGTAAATTGCAATTGACCTTATTGGGTGATGCACGGACAAGCCATGGACATTGAATGTACCTCACAAAGGTTCCCGTCAGTACAGTGAGGATAAGGGGCTTGGGCAGAGAAGCAAGAGGGAGGAAAAGGGGGAAAAGCTGGCTGCTTGCTGCTGGGAGAGCCTCTTAGGGGTCAGGCCTCTCTCAAGAGCCCTACGTACCACTGATCTCTCCCCACGAGCTGAGCTGAGACAGCCGGACGGTGCAGAACAGCGGCAGTCACAGGAGGTTGGTGGCGACCTGTGAAACAGAGCAACGGCTTGTCCAAGGCAATGGATGGCTCAGAGGCCATGGACAGCAGTGATGCTACAGCCCCAGCACCTTTGAGGGGACACAGGGCAGCAGAGCTAAGCAGCTTGGACTGAAGCTATGGAGAAAACAGCATCCAGCTCAAGGGACACTAGTGCAGGCCTCCCTTCACAGCAAGGAAAACTGAAATCACTCCAGGTGGGTTAGGAAGTAGAGCAGCCCATGGAGCACTGGCCAGCTAGAATCCTTGGACTTCTCCAACCCAGGGCAACTAATGGTGATGGGCAGCTGGGGAAGAGGGAATTGGCCAGAACTCATCAGCCACTTGCACCAGCTGTAGGTTGGACTGAGGTTACTTGTAAGATACCCTGGGGGAATCTCACATAATAGAACTTCTCAATGTATTAATAGCTGGTTTTCTCAAATTCATTCATGTCTTCCTCCCATCTACACACCCCAAATAAAGTTCCCTTGGTTGTATCGCCTGGACTCAGTGTTGGCCAGTGGGGAAGAATTGCCCACCAAGGGTTGCCATGGTGGTGTATGTATTTTACCAGGTTTCTGGGTCAAAGCTGGAGCCAGTGCATGTGAAGTCTTTAAGAAAACCCATAGAAAAATTGAACCTGGTCCTTTTGGCTCCTGACACCATCTGGCAGAGGGGGTCACATGGCAAATGGTTTAATTGGTTTTGCTTGGCAGTTTTAAGACAAAATATGGAACATTTCAAAATCAAAAAATGTATATTTTAAAAAACATGTTTTGTGGGTTGTTTAAGCTGTTATTTTCCAACCAGCTCTGCCCCACACGCAAACATTAGAAAATTGGGAAATACTTCGTAAAGGGTCCAGCCACATCTTGAGAGAATTATCTGGACATCTGTAGTTTGTTGACCTAGATTCCAGTGACCAGAGTCCAACTGCCCTCTCTCTGATGGAGGAGACTCACATCTAGAGTGATGAACCATGAATACGTGTACTCGCAAGGTTATTTATAGAACAGCTGAATATTAACAATCCATTGTTATCAAGGAGGCTACACTGGGAGGAAGGTACTACCCAATGTGAGTAAGACTCAGACACTTGACACATAATCCAGCTAAAAGTTGAAGTAACTTGGAGTTAAAAGTAAACAACAAGTCCTTACATCCTTACTCAGACTTTGCTCTGTCAGTACTCAAGCAAAACTCCCACTGAGTGTCCCAGAGGAAGGATATTGTGTACAGATGTTAAAGCTGTCAACTAGAAACACTGCAGTCTCTCAGGAGCAGAAATGCATAAATCATATATATATATATATATATATATACTAATTTGTAGATGGAAAGGAATAGAATTATCTGTGTGCAAGAGCCTATTTTACTACCCTTTTATAAATGAATGGCATTGCTCATGGGGGATTTTGCCCATGTCTTCCTCAGCCAAGAAGAGTCTTTAATTAATTAATTTGGGATTCAAAGTAAAATCTTCAAAAAAAAAAAATAAAGAAAAAGAAAAACCCTGAGGCCAAAATTTTAAAGGTATTTAGGCACCTAGTGGGATTTTGCAAAGCATCTAGGTGACTAACCCCCATTGATTTCAAGAGATCTTAGGAGAAACTTCAACATATCTTTTATATTTGACTCTTTTTTAACTTTTATCTTGTTCTATTTTCTAAAGGAAATGTCAGCTACTGAGCCAGTAAGAGAGGGGAACCACACAGCAGAGACAGAATTCATCCTATTGGGGTTTGGAAGAGGTCTGTGGATGGAGATGTTCCCCTTTGTGATGTTCCTGGTGATTTATATAATAACCGTGCTGGGAAACACCATCCTGGTCCTCATCATTGGAATTGATTCTCAGCTTCACACCCCCATGTACTTCTTCCTCATGAACTTGTCGCTCTTAGATCTCGGCAACTCCTCCTCCATTGCCCCCAGAGCCATGGTGAGCTTCCTATCAGGGAGCAAAGCCATTTCCTACAATGGATGTGCCACCCAATTCTTCTTTGTCACTTTCTTCCTCACCACTGAAGGGTTCCTCCTGGCAGCAATGGCATACGATCGATACTCCGCCATCCACAACCCGCTCCGGTATCCCATCACCATGTCCAAGTGGGTTTGTATTTGGCTGGTGGTGGGATCCTATATCTGTGGCTATGTGAACTCCATGGTGCAAACTGGCTTCACCTTTACGCTAGACTTTTGTGGGTCTAATGAGATGGATCATTTCTTCTGTGATGGCCCTCCCCTAATTAGTCTGTCCTGCAGTGACACATTTGTCAATATCATTGTGATGTTTACCTTATGTGGCCTCATTATAGTGAGCACTGCACTGATTACGCTGGTCTCCTATGTCTATATCATCTCCACCATCCTCAGGATTCATTCTGCTGAGGGCAGACACAGAGCCTTCTCCACCTGCACTTCCCACCTGGTGGTTGTGACTTTATTTTACGTGTCCACTGCTTTGATGTATGCCCAGCCCACTCAGCTAGCTTTTCTGTATCCAAGGAAAGTAGTGTCCGTCTTTTATACCCTTTTTGCTCCCATGTTGAATCCTTTCATCTACAGCCTCAGGAACAAGGATGTGAAAGATGCTTTGAGAAGGACTATGAGCAAGAAATGTTTGAAAAAATGAACATTGTCTTTGAACATACAGATGTAACCAATTGAGTCAAAGTATAGTGCAATACAACAACACATTTTGAGCAAATGTTTATTTTTTATTGGGATTAGTTTGGGGGCAAGTATAAAAAAATCTTTGGGATCCACAGTATCTATCTATCTATCCTTTTTTCTGTGTGTCTATCTATTGCTCTTTCTGCTTCCCTCTCTACTTACCTGACTAGTTGACCTGTGGAACTCATTGCTACTGGATATTATTTAGATATATGTCCTTTGGATATATTTTCAGAATTTTAAAATGGCTTTGATATGTATAGGGCTTCATGCTTTGGGATATTAGTCAGCTACTGCCTGTCTGAGTTAGGAATAAATTTTCTCCATGATTTATCATTCAATTCACCCGTCTTTGAAACAGCTGATACTGGCCACCATTGGAGACAGGATTCTTCTGCATAGCAATTCCTTTGTTTCTATAATGTTCCAGAACACTGAACATACAACATATTTAAGACAATAAAGTATCTCTCTATATATTTGCATGTTTACATATACTTACAATAGGAATGACCTCCATCCAAATTGTTAGGTAATGTAAATTTGCTTAGCTAATCTGATCTCTGTGTAACTACACCAGCTCAAGGTCTGGCCCTTGAGTTATCACTGATGCCTAGGTGGGGTAGCTGTTTGGTGATGATGATCAATGTGTGAACTGGCAAGGAAACTGATAGAGCCCATGTTAACCTGGATCACCTATATATAGTACTCCTATGTCATGTCTGAAACACAGCTCAATAAAGCAAGTGATTTTGATTCAAATCTCACCCATATTTGTGTAAACCAGGCGCATTCACTGATGCAGGTGTAAATCCACTAGTAGCCAGATGCAAATCCTCTCATTCACTCTGATGTAAATTAGGAGTCACTCCACTGAAGTAAATGCATTTACACTGTCCTAAAATTTGTGTAAATTGATGGATAATCAGGCCCATTTGCTCTACATTCTACGATGCAATAAACTTAGTAAAATAAACAACTAATAACATTTCCCTTTTTGATTTGGTTGTGAAATGAAAACTACACTTTGAGCCCAATGCTGCAGCACTCTTTGAGGATAACATCAACTTGACTTCAGTAGAGATTTTGGTGCATTATGTCTTGCCAGATCACATTTACTATGCAGATTTACCATGGAAATCCCAGGTTATTAATCTGCAATTCTAATAATATTGAATTCAGAATGTATCATCTGAAAAATAAATCTAAGTATAGAGATGAATTGTCTGTTTTTAGTAAGTGAATTCCTACCTTTACTGCTGCTTGGCAGGGTTGGCTGATGGGTGGGATTCACATCCTACCAGGAGTTAATCTCCAGGGGCCATTGCACTATGACCTCTATTAGTCTCTCCATTAACGCACTAGTAGAATGTGCATTGGCTTCCTTTAACATCCCCATCCATGTCCTGCTTCCTGTCTCCTGCCTCCTGCCTCCTTCTAGGGCTACTCTATTGCAGTGGCAGAGGGGATGTGGAGCTGGGACTCCCGGGATGAGGAAGGAGATTGGGAAGTCAGGAGTTTCTGTGTTGGTAGCCCCAGGGAGACGTAGTTTGAGAAGAGCAACCAGCTGCATGTGGCACAGAATCTGGACATCTGCAGAGGAACTGGATCAATAGGTCTGAGAATGGGGAGGACTTGTCCCTGTTATACCAGACACAGTGCCAGCAGGAATTTTCAAAGGAGCCAATGGGATTTAAGTGCCCATTTCCCATTGAAATGGGCACCTAGCCCCCTTGGGTAACTTAGAAAATCCCAGTCCTAGCCTCTGCCATTTAAGTTAGTGGAAACCATCTTTGGTTGTGAGTAAAGCTGGTTAGGACTTTTCAATGCAAATATTTATTCAACAGGAAATGTGATTTCTGCAAAATCAAATTTTTATGTCAGAAAATTTAGATTTTGCTGATTTTTGTCCTTCTGATTTTCTCTTGGGAAAATCAGATAAAACTATTTTGGTTTGTAAAGTCAAACCGAAACTTTTCATTTCAAGACAGCTAAACATTCACCCATGTCCACCTATGCTGCCATGGTGCATCCTGGGAATTGTAGTCCAGGTGCCTCATGCCTATTTTCTCCCCTACAGGCTGGTTTTTCCTGGCTGCAAAACATATCATCCATTGCTGTCTGGCTGAACCAACATGGTTCCTCTCCTGCCACACACAGGATGGTGTTGGTGGGTGTTAGTATATAGGCCTGTTTGTTAGCCTGAGAGAGAATTTTGGGTTTGACTTTTGATACTCTTATATCCTTACTAATATGTGTGAACAAAAAACAAAGACACTGTGTGTTGCTTCTGGTCAGCCAGATGGGTTTCTTGCTATAATGAGAAGAGATAAGAGATAGAGTTTATAGTGTTACGGGGTATGGTGGGAGGATAATATACAAGCATACACTGTAAGGTTGCCTGGCTCCTTTCTCAAGCCAGGGTCAATCAACCAGTTAGGAGAGGCAAGGGGGTTGGGGGGAGTCATAAGAAACACTAAAATCCAAAGAAAAGCCTGGTCTTGGCCAGTACACAACCTCATTCCTTGCCCCTCCCATGGGATACAAAAGAGGTGGTACCAAGACCACAAATTCATGACACTCCAAAATGGAACTTGACCATAAGTTGTAAGGGGTGGGACTGTGGGCATGCACTGCAGGAATATTTGGGCCTGCTAAGAAGGAGGAGGTGGGAATAGGGAACAGGGACACTGGTAAAGGCTCTGCAGCATCAGAGCTATGGATATGCTTGCTTGAAACTAACCAAATAAACATCCCATTGCCTGCACTTCGGACCTCTGGTCTTCTGCTTTCTGTCTGCATGACAAGAACTAAGGGAGGGGGTAAAGGGAAATCCCTCTAACAGTGGGGTTATCAAACCAGTGTGACTTGGAGATAACATCCCATTGAGAGATACAGGGCAGTTCTCCCTCTCCGAACTATTCACTCAGGTTCTCTGTAGATGCAGAAAGATGGCACTGTGTCTGGTATACCAGGGACACATTCCCCATTCTCAGACCTATTGTTCCAGTTTCTCTGCAGAGGCTGCAGCACTGGTTACAATGGGATTATTTTTCTAAGCATTTCCAGCACAAGGGGCTAGGAAATAAAAACAAAAAACAAACAAACAAGCAAACAAACATAAAGCTGATATTCTGATGTAATCACATGACTCCAGGAGTTTGGACCCTTGGCATAGGCCTACGGTGCCTATCTGTTTATCCAGCCCTGAATAAAATGCACACAGTCATAGATTCTTAGATCCCAAAGTCATTGTGATCAGCTAGTTCGACCGCCTTTTTAACACAGGCCTTAGAATTTCCCCAAAATAATGGACACTCAAGGACAAAGAGAATTAAGATTAAAAAAAATGTTTCCCCAGAAGTCTGAATTTCATCACATTTCTATACTCAAATGTACAATCCTATTTTTTTCCCCACAGAGACCAAACTCCTCAACATCTTACAGCTTAGTAGCACAATTAATGCTACCAATCTCTGCTGGATTCAAGAAAATGACCATAAAGATGCAAAGCTCTTTATACCAATCCTCTGAGCTTGGGGTTCCCCAAAGTTTT